TTCAATCTACCAAAGCAATTCTGCAAATATCAAAACACTTATGCAAGATGGAAACTTCCAAACATAAATTAAATCTTTGTCACTGCTGTGAGTGGAGATCCTCGTGAGGGCGGGTAATAACTGTTATGAGCTCACTCTTGACTTAATAGCCAGACGGACGCTGTTTTCCCAGAACGTCATGTCAGTTTTCCAGTCCTCTTGTCCAGGAACTTTGGTGTCCAGAGTGGCAGCCTTGTGTCAGACGTGTTGAGGGTCACTGGGAATGTTAGTCTAGGATACCAGCTAAACCAGCTGAACATCCAAAAGCTGAAAAAACCCAAAAGTTGAAACTGTGGCTTCAAGTCCATGTTGCATAATGTCCTATACTATCATCCCCCGTCCATCCATCCATCCATTCACCCCCCCCTCCTTAAATTCTATCTTTAATTAATTTTATTAGCGAGTTAGACTTATTAGTTCATGTCTCCATCCATCCATCCATCTGTTCATTTTCTCACTCCCTCTTTTTCATCCATCATCCATGCAATATTTCATCTCTCCATCCCTCCTTTCATCCATCCATCCATCCATCCATCCATCCATCCATCCATCAATGTATCATCCATCAATCCATTCTTTCTTTCATCCATCCCTCACTCTATCCATCCATCCATGCATCCATCCTTTTTCATTCATCATCCATCCATTCATTAATTCATGTTTCCATGCCTCCTTTCATCCATCTATCATCCATCCATTAATTAATGGCTCCATCCATCCAACCACCTCTTGCTACATTCATCCTTTCATGAAACCGCCCTTCAATCCATCCATCCATCCTTCCACCCATCTATTAATTCATATCTCCATCAAACATCCATCCATTCTTTTTATCATCCATCCATCAATCCATTCTTTCATCATCCCTCACTTCATTCATCCTTTCATCAAACTACCCTTTTATCCATTCATTAGTTAATGTCTCCATCATCCATCCACCCTTATTTTCATTATCATCCATTCATCAATACATTCTTTTATCATCCCTCGCTACTTCCTTCCTTTCATCAAACTGCTTCTCTATCCATCCATTCATTAATTTGTCTCCATCATCCATCCATTCATTCTTTCATCCATCCCTCGCTATGTCCATCCATGAACTAATTCATATCTCCATTCATCCATCTCACTCCCTCTTTTCATTCATTCATTTAGTGGCTCCATCCATGAATTAATTAATGACTTCATCCATCCATCCATCCATTCATTAATTCATGTCTCCATCCCTCCTTTCACCCATCCATCAATTCATCCATCCATTCTTTGATCAAACCCTCCTTCTATCCATCTATCCCTCATGAATTCATTCATTCATTCATCACCCCTTCTTTCATTATCATCCATCGATTGATTCATCCATCCATCAATACTGTAATTTCACATTTATCCTCCTATATTTCTTTACATGCTTCCTTGCAGAACTTGAAAACTCCCAGCTGACAACTTGTGAATCCCTATCATTTCAGCTTGTCGGATTCTCTTATATTTGTTAAATCTTCTTCTGTTTACTTATTTACCAATTACCAGTCAAATCAGTTATCACAGAACAATTTGCAGCAGCTGGCAAGTATTATAAAAATGGCATTCAGCAATAAACCTCATTAGCACTGATTTCTATTGGGTGTTCTTCTAGTGTGTTTACACAAGATGAGTTGGGCATTTTCCATTTACCATCGCTGGTTAAGAAATTACCAGTCACCCGGTTCAGTTAACAGCTATTGAGTTTCAGTTTGCAGTCCAATATTGACAAATCTGCCAGACTCACTTCACTAATCACTGTTCTAATAACACAATCGGTGAACTTGAGATTGAGGTAAATGCAGCCGAAGCCTTTTTTACTCGTACTTGCTCTTCAATTCATTGCATAAAGACAAATCATAAGCAAGCGAGTTTTCGTAAACGCAGCATGCTGTTGTTCGTCAGACGAATGCATTAACCTTGCGTGTATCATCTCAACACCTTTCCTTTTTTTCTCTCCAGCTAGTGTTTGTAGTTCATCAGAGCAGAGATGAAGATGACTGATGAAACCGATTGCTCGGGTCATTATCCTCCACGTTACAGGGCAGAGAAAATTAAAATTTGATTTGTGGAGCGGCTGTGTTTTGTCGTTCTGCCGGATAACCGGACGTGAAAAATGTGCCCTAGTCTCCTGCTCTTAGAGCGAGCCTGTTTACCCCTGAACAAGGAGAATTAATTAGGCTCCTTTATATTCTGGCCTCGTACTTGCAAACCCATCCTGATGTCTGGGATCCATCTCTGAACTTGTGTGGTGTTTGTCCCTTTGTCTTGAGAGGAGATCTGACTTCAGATCAGTTCTGCTGTGATTGTAATATTAGATGGGGCTGTAGTTTCGAAGAGGGAAGCTGGTTACGGATCAGCACCTGAGTTCAGCTCTAGCCAGAGGGTTTAGTTTGATGAACGCTCTTGTTATAATGAGAGCAGTTGTGCACAAGTCACCTGAAACTCATTGTTGTTTGAAAATTCCTCATGTCTTGGCCTGGAGGTTTTGCCTTGCGTTGTTTTCTTGCTGCCTTGATTCTTAATATTTGGCTGTAACAAGCAGAAAGATAATGACAATGTTTAAAATACAATACTAGCTTGCATTATGCATTGCATTATGCATGATGCAGAAATGCATTATCTGTCAGTGAAAAAATGCTCTTTTTTGGTGCAGATATATTAATTTATTCATAAATACATTATAATGAAATTCATATATACGCTACCTGCAAAGTTTACACATGTATACAAAAGTTTGGAGTAGGTAATATATATGTATGACCAATATACAGACACATACATGAACAACAAAAAAATATGATTGTGTTAAGTCAATTTTCATTGTGTGATGAAAATATTATTGCAGTTTACTTGTTTATATCACATGATGTTTTTACAGATATTACATTTAAAATGTTCTTAAATGGTATGAAAAAGTCTTCAAAACAATGTGAAATCAGCATACAAATTGTACATTTCTAAGAACTTTAATGGAATTTTTAAAATATTTCTCCTTTATCATGGACACTTTTGTTTATCACTGACCCTTGTGAAAAAAAAAATACACCTTTTAATCATTAATGTGCTACTTTGTTGTCACATGACATTATGTGCATAATTCAAACATTTGCATCCAGTTTTCATTTGAGAAATAAAAATAATTATTTTGTATCGTGTGTAACTCTTGCAGTCCAGTTAAATAATGAAAGAGTGAAGTGATTATGAATAACATGAGTGAATTCAAGGTCGATTTGAGTGCACTGCATTATGGGATACAATTCCTATGCTCAGGTCATCCGGGCCTTGTTTGCATAGAGAAAATATGCATTCACAGTTTACATACTTAACTATATCCTTGTGAGATATTAAGTAGTGGGTTTGTGAACATAACAGTCATTCCAGCTGTCAGATGAGACACATAATAACTAACGGCCTTTATTACCTTGACTTCTCTTCGACAGTATTGACTTTAAGCCACTCCTAATCGGGTTTTGTGATGCTTCAGTGCAGTTTTCAATTAGCGCTGAACATTGACATGTGCCACATGACTGAAGCAGGAGATTAATATGGAGAGAAATGAACTGAGAGCTGAAGAGAAGAGCGGTCTGTTTCTCTGCGGATGAGCTCATGAAAGAAAAGCTGCTGCTGAAGCCAATGAACACGACAGACCAAATGAACAACTGAGCTGCTGTCTAATGGAAATACTGTTTCTGAAAGATCGGTGTAATTGGAAAACCTTAAACCTGTCACGACCATGTCCAGGTCACATTTCACCCCAAGATGAAAAGAAAAACATATGTAATTATATTTTACATTAAGCCCATTTTAGAATCATTATGATTTCTTATATTGTGATATTATTTGAATGACATTGAATGCACATTTTCACCTAAGATCTTTATTGTAATGCATCTGGATCTTTATTATTTTCATTATTACATAAATATTTCCTGATCCTAAATGTAGGGGTGTAGTTCATTTCAGTCTCAGCCAATGGACTAAAACATGCACTGTTTCGGTAGTGACATGGAAAATGCGGGACACTTTTTTTTTTTTTTTTTACATAAAGTTCCATAATTTACAAAGAAATTATAAATATATATATATTTTTTTTTAACTTCACTTTTACTATTTCACTCTATATATTTTTTAAAACAACAATGGAAAAAAAATACTAAAATTATTTAAATATAATTTTAAGTTGAACCTTAGGGGTGAGGGTTCGGGACAGCCACCTCCCAATTGAAAATACCCAATAAATGATGATTTTATATATATTAAGCTTACTAATATTTTAAATATTATTGTGGGTTTCAATAGAGAATAGAAGGATCTTAGTAAACATCTAAGATTTGAATACTTAAATACTTTTTAATTGTGTCTTTTGGTTATGGGACAGCAGTTTGGACCAATTCTATAGAATGGATTACACTGAACAAAATTATAAACGCAACACTTTTGTTTTTGCCCCCATTTTTCATGAGCTGAACTCAAAGA